ACCTCGATGTCGTAACAATATATATATACATGTGTAATGTTATGAGATTTAATCTATTTAGTCTAAACATTTATATCTTTGTGTTATAATTTGTGTTCATTCTAGAATGAAAGAGGCATAATTGATATTTATTCCAAAATTTTTATGGTGGTTGCAAGATCTGTCAAATCTGCCGAACCCGTAAGGAGATTAATTACTGAAATTAATTGATAAAATATAAAGTTTTTCTTAAGAAATGTTTGATAACTATTTAAACATTATAACGATTTTGCATGTGAAATTTGAAAATTTTTTAATGCATAAAAGTATTTATAATCTTAAAACAAAGATAGGTAACATGTGAAAAGAAAATAAGGCACAAGAAAAACATTGCTTTACAAACCTTAAAACTTAATAAAAAAATTAGATATTTTGCTTATGAAAACATTACAATGTTTAGTGATAATATGCCAAATTTAACATTTGCTTACTAATTTCAAAGTTATAGCATGAAAGAGTTAATTATGAAAAACTCAAGCATACTGCTAAATTAAAACAGATGAAATTCCCACTATTATGTTGAGATGTATACAAAACATTAATATTCTAAATATACAGACTTACTATCTGTTATTGTGAAAGTTTCATCTTCATTTTTGATCAGTTTTATATCCAACAAAACATTCTGATTCTCATCAGAAAATGGTTCCACTTTCATCTTTAATACTCCAATGATTACACAGGAGCATCACCTGTATATTCTGTAAATAAAGTTTCACAGTAAGACTACAGAGAAATAATATGAGAATCAGAAGTTAACCTTACAAGGATTAGTATAAAATGTTTAAATATAAAATCACATTATCTTGATAACTTTCATTTCAAGTTATAATAAGCTTTATCTTTTCACATATTTATATTAAAATAGTCACATTATCTGAAATAAAATAGTAAAACACACAGAAAACTTTTACCAACAATTTCTAAACTAGAATTTTACCCAATTGATTAGATTAGATACACTTCACATGTACCAAAACATGAAAAACTAGAACTATTTTAATAACCTTGAATCATTCAGGAGTTGAATTACTAACTTTCAGTCTTTCCACAAATACCAATTGATTTTCTATCCATTTACATAATTTCAACAAAATACGTAATAATACCACGTCGATAAAGCAGTACTACCCACTACAGATATAAGTAACACTTGACTGGAAGTCACATAACTTTTGGCATCCTCAAGAGGCCACAACTGCTATGTGTTGAATGTTCAAAGCCCACCACTCGATAACCTTCATTTGTGATTTTTATAAATTTCTTAAGCTAAGATGACCCAAGATATACTTTTTTACCCCAAAATTAGATGTCAAAATCTGCTTGCATCCTATACACAAAAGGTATGAATAATATATATGTTTATATACGATATACACAAGCCATGTGTAAATATTGTTACGTCTCCGTTTGTTAATTAATTTTCCATAACTTCGTTCCGACGAAACTTAAGCGACACAAGTCCTTTCTTAATAAAACTGATTTATTCTTTCCGATTATAAATTTACCGATACACTCAACTTCAACAATCGCATTAAAACAAACACTAATCAACGAACGTCAACAATACTTCCGACTGCAGTTCAGTTACTCACTATCTATCTCCCTCGACACGTTACATTCCCCTTTTTTATATATCCGCCTACCCTATATCTAGTAAGAACTAGAGCATTCGCCAAAGTACATGATAGTTCTAGAAACGTTGCGTAACTGTAGTCATGTGACTCGCTGACGCAACACTGCCCCCTCCTTAATATTGTTCGTCCCGAACAATAACTTAATTAACTGTACAGAATTACAAACACAAAATTACAATTCAACAAAGTCTCTTAATTTTACGGGACGTATCTTCTTCCATACTGGTCTCCGTCTCAATAGCTTCTGCTTCATGTGGGGTTCATCCGCTTCATCAGTAAATGTCCCATCGTCAGTAACAGTCACATCAGTGGTAGTAACTTCACCAAGAGCTTCACCGTTTCCCTTCTCAAAACTGAGTA